CGGTCACTTCGCCCCGGGACACATTGTATATAATATTCATAACAGATAAACATAATGGGTCATAATCGTGTATCGTACATGTGACCCGTATCTAGCACATCCCAGTGTGTTGAGTAGTTTCGGAATATATATATTGTAATATAGATAGATAAATTGTCGGGTTTTACTTCTCGGAACAATTCATACCTACACACCTATACCTATAACCTATACCTATTAATTCCGAACATTTTCATACTCACTCACCTTTTAAATCTTCTCTGGACTTCCACAAATAATTTAAGACCAAAATGAGTTATATCGGTCCAGCTGTTCTCGAGTTTTAGCGAGACTTACAAACAGCATTAGATTTTTATTTATATAAATAAAGATTGTTTCATATTTATTGTTTACAATTACGATTATCATATTGTGAAGTAGGTACCTAATTACCCATGCACTTAAATATATTTTTTACACAAATAGTAAACAACTATTTACTACAAATTTTAAATTGAGGTATACAACTCATTACTGTTATTTTTACCATATTATTATTACAATGTGGTATTAACATAATATCTGAAAACAGTGAAAACCTTCCAATATATTAAATATTTACTTACATATTATACTTAAATTAAGTCAAGAAAAACATCATTATATTGCACATTTTAAGGATTATATATTTATATGTAGTGTGATTTTGAATTTTTTTTTGTTCCATTATTCAAGATTCTATGCGCAGTAAAAGTATTAGTTTTAAGATGATGTGTGTTTTTTCCGGGTCTTTTATCAACATTCTGCGAGGTATTTTCAACATCAGCATTATTTCTGATAGAAAAGTGAATCTTATTGGTACTTTTGAGATGTGAAATTGAAAATTCCCAGTAGTTTTAGAAAGCGTTGTCGAACAAAAACAATAATAGTAATTTTCATTTATATTATAAATGTATTTTCTATACATGCGGCATATGGTAATATTCAAAACTTTTGGACTTTTTTTGTGTTATTCATAGGCTTCAATTTTTCTAATTTGGTAAATTATTAGTTAGGAATTCATAACATTGTACATTCAATTTACGTTATTTCTAGCCAAAAGATAATTTCAATTTTTATTAATATTTTTTTAATTTTTAAAATGTATTATTTATAGGACACAATGTCTCCGCTCAGAATCGATTTTCGTATGCAATGTTTTAACATTGAATTCAAATAAAACACATTTACTACAATGGCATGCTCGACAACTACTTTAAAAACAGCAGAGAAGTACCCATTTGTCTACCTTTGTAATGTTGTTTTCGATTCGAAAGCCTGAAAATCTAATACAAAGTTTCTAATAACTAAGTTGTCCTTAAGGCAGTTAGGGCATACCGCAAATAACACAAATATGATGCACATTATTTTGTAATTAAAATTTCAATTTGAATAGCTTTACGGCATTATCCATTGTATTATAATATGGTTCTTAAAAATTGTTCTAACATGACAATCAATCAGACCTATATTTGATTCAGATTTATCAAATCATCAAGGTAAACATTGAAATAAGTTGATACCCTTCACAAAAAGCAAATTGATTTAAATTATTCAATTCACCAAGATGTTACAGCCACATTATAAGTTTAGGACTTTTTTTTTTTAAATTTTATTTTAATTGTGTCAATCACTAGTTTTTTTTTTGGTAATGTAGTTCTATTTTTAAGCAAATTATAATTTGAATGTCTAAAATATCATTTGTTCTTACATCAACATTAACAAGTACCGGCCGTTGTTGCTAGCACTCGGATGGGTGTAATCCGTGCTTTTATAGCAACACATCCTTGCCAATTGCCATACATACAAACGTGTTCCAACCACCCCCCCCCCCCCCCCCCACACACACACACACACACAGTACCAGGCAAATGACCTTAGTAGTTGAAACCTTAATCCCAAAAAAAAAACTATAAATTAAGCAAGTACTAAAATATAATTTACCTATTCTTACTCTAACCCCCTTGTACACATTTTTCATATTTGTAAAAATATATTTATAAAAAAAAAAATCCTTGGCACGGGCGTGTATGAAAAAATATTTATGCAAAGATAGCTAATCTAAATATTATTTCGGTACTTCGATTTATATTGTATTGTATTATATTATGTACGTACTTAACAAGATTAGGAAATTGTAGGTACATATACAATACATTTATACGGTTACTATATAGTACTATAATGAGTATAATGTATTTTACGTACATTATGTGTATATAGTGCAAATTATTATTTTATTTACTTACAGTTCGATTTCGAGTTTGAATATTGTCATATCAAATATAATAAATAGAAATGTAACAAATAGAAACTGTATTGACAAGAAATGTCACTTTTAGTCTTTCACCATTATTTTGTTTGATAACAATGTAGTTGTAGAATCTAATAAAAATAATTTAAAACATAAGTTATAACATTAGTATTCATATAATATGCCTATATATTTTATATTCATCGACTTTTCAATCTAATACTAGTAATACTATTGTTGTTTAATTAGATAAACTTCATTACGTTACCTATTTAATAAAACATTTATTATAACATTGCATTTCAGATGCACAGAACCTACATAATAATACACATAGCAGTATGCTAAAATGCACTGGTCAGTGGTCACTGAGTGTCGACTGAGTGTCGTATTGAAATCACGCGCAAGACACAGCAGTTTTATAAAATTTGATATAATATTATTACCTAATTAATAGTCTACCAAATTTTTAAAACAAGTCATGAACATTCTAAAATTGTCAAGTTTTGTAAATTTGCGTCCTACTATGTGTCAACAATCTAGTGTTGAATATTTAATGTTGATTAATTTTCTTCGTTCAATAAGTTTCTGGTATAAAATATAAAGCTTAGGGTTGAGAAGAAAATAAGAATAAAAGTCATGGGCAGAAGGTTTGGATTTCACTGTATGAGTTCATCTGGTAGAAAATTTGAATGTACCCTCCTATTTTTGATCAAAAAGATTTTTACATATTGATGAGATCGTGGCGCGTTACTATCATAAAAATCAGTAGTAGTAAAATTTAAAATATTGGATAGGATTGTGTTCCAAGAATTAAAAATAACAGAAACCACTGCAGCTGTGTAGTAGATTTCAGGTGTAATACCTGGTGTTATTGACCATTGTAATTGATTATTGAGGTGTTACATTTAAATTTAATTATAAATCATTGTATACCTACGAATAACGATTCTGTGTTTCAGAAGTAGAGTTTCTTAAGATATATGCAACTTGATTCCAAACTTATCTTAGTTATTGAAAAATGACGAAAAATAATAGTGCCAAATTATTACCTTCGTCATTATTTTTTAAATATTATCCGAAACCTGGGGTTTTTCAATACAGAAAGATTTTCTATGGGAGAAAAAGGTAAAACAGCCTAATGGCACTGAATTAATTTTCAACAATAGATATCGTTGTCGTTTTTCCATAGATATACGCAGTATACTAAACTTATCGTATAAAGTATTTGAGTAAATGCATTTGAATACTATTAATATGTAGAATTTTAAATACTATGTTAGATTTATTCGCATTTGAAAATCAAAAAAGTACTCTGATATAATTATCTTCAAAATTCAAAATAATTTGTCGTCACATTTCAGATCGTTTTTTGATAATCATCAGATATATTATTTTATTTATATTGAAAATCAAACTACTAAACATTTATTTGAATACTATTTAATTATTTAACATTTCATTAATAACCATTAATTGTTTAATTAATAGGTACTAAAGTATTTTAGAATATTAAATTATAATATACTTTTATTTATTTTCATTTTTCAGTATAAAATTGAGAAGATAGTACAAATGTCTAATGATATAGTTAAATATGAAATCACAACTTTAAAATAGAAATTACTTATTAGAGAATGTATTTTCTTACCTACTTGTAAAATTAAATAAGTAATACCAAAAAGTTTTTATATTCCTACTTACCAAGTACATGTATTTGTTTTTAAATACTATTTTTCTGTTCAGGCTTTTCTAATGTAAAACGGGTGTATTTTTTAAAATGTAGTATTCAATGACATCAGCATTATATAATATATTTTACTGGTACCTTTTGTGGGCAATTCGGTTGGTTTTCGCAGTCATTGGACATCAAACCCTTTATAATATAATGACTGTAGTCTGTATTGTATAAATATGATATTGATCAAACCTTTATGATCGCAATGATAGTAAGTCGGTGTAACGTCGTTCGTTTAGAATCGTTCTTATTGTCACTGAATCACAGTACAAAAAACAATATCCCTCATGTAATGCCTCACAGCTTAAATGTTGTACATAAATGAATAAATAATGAATAAATAAATATCGTTATTACTGACCCCAGTGCACTAAATTATGTTTTTGTTGACTTTTGCGTAATGTACCTAAATATACAGTGGCCAAGAACTAATAACCGATTCAATTATAGACCATGTTATTCGCTCTTAATTTGATTTCATTGGTTCATCCTTGGTGGTTAATATAATAGATGTACCTACGCCGTTTCTATTCGCTTTATTTATGATATGCAATATATATATATATATATATATGCACATATTATACATAAATATTAAATATGTTAAGCTTTTTATTTTTAAGTGCATTATAAACTTCCACTGCGCAAGACTCTAAAGCTGAATAATGTTAGGGTTAGTTAGGAGAGTTAGAGTTCAATACAATGCAATGCAATGTAATAAAATTAAAATAATATATATATATGTAAATTATAATTATTTATAGGTTTATGCCTGTGTTGTTAATTTATTTGTTATTGATACATGGATTTATTTTATATATATTATATATTCTGAGCAGAGCTATAAATGTATTGGTTTTACAATGATTATGTGTTCAAAGGAGTTATCAAGTAGAAAATTAGATATGGTTTGTACTTGGGTGAGTCAAGAGTACTTTTTATATTTTTATATTTTTATATTAATTAGAAACATAAAAATACAAACATTAATTGTTAAAATTGTTAGATATACTAGCTTTATTATTAAAATAATCATTTGGGTACCAAAAAAAGGACAGCCTTCACTTTGAATCATAATTCAAATATTCATCATCGAGTATATTAAAGAAATATTTATACAATTCTGATGATAAGCCTACATGAACCATAAACAAACAAACAAAACTCTATTCAAAACACAGTCATTGACTCATTATGAGGCCACGATTGGTTTCAAACTTAACCAGATTCCATTCTTCGGTTTAATACCACCTCCAACATGAGACAATTTCAAGGGATTTTCAGTTTTTTCACACGGTAAAACTTCGAACTTCGAGATTATTTCTGATAAACCTAATTTCATTTCCAATTCAGCCAAACGCTTACCTAAAAACCAAAATGTCAATAAAACAAAAATAAAATACTGAGAATAAGAATATATAAATATATAATACCTATACAAAATCGAGGTCCATCCCCAAACAACAATTCAGTGCCACTAGGTCGTTTTGATTTTTCTTCCGGAGAAAACCTTTCCGGATCAAAAACGTCAGGATTAGTAAAATATTTTGGATCATGATGAATGCTGTAAGTTGGTATTATTATTTTTTGGCCTTTTTCGATGACTAATGACGAGTCCGGGACATGATAAGTCTTAGTTGCTTTTCTGAATAAAACAATTGTCCCGTTGTTCTTGCGCAATGTTTCTATATAATATAATATTATATTTTAAAAAATAATAGAATATGCAGTTGTTTATTTATTGAAAAAATATTGAATGTGTCTAAGTAAACAATATTTTAAGACACGCCTTAAATTATATAGAAATTTGGTTACCTGTTAAAACCATGTCAGCGTAATGGAGGTCCATCAAATAATCGTTGGTAAATTCACCACCATGTTTTTCTCTCTTCGCGATGATATGTTCACGCAATTTGTCTTGTACATGTTTATTTATTGCCAACTCATGTAAACAAAAACCCAACGTATCGGATACCGGTTCGGCACCAGCAAAGTACATTATAATTGCATTTGAAATAATATCCATTTCAGTGAATTTCTCTAACATAAAAAAAAAATTATAAATAATAAGTTAATTTACAACGTATATTTTATTTCTCACCTTCAGGAAACGACGTATTATTTAGTACAAGTTCTTTCCTAGCTTGCATAAGTGTTTGGGCCACATCGTTCCTATTCACATTGTTCTTTTCTCTGTACTCGATTACACTTCTTAATGATGAAATAAAATATTCCTCAACTTCTGGTGGGGTGGGATTTATTTTTAATATACTCGATATTTTTGGTGAAATCATTACCAACGTGTTGGCAAAAATTAGCCTAAACGATGGTTTAAATATCAATTTTGTGAACTTTCGAAATTCGTTGTCTTCGTCTGTCATACTGCCTAATTTCAAACCGAAAGCACATGTCCCAATTACGTCGGTGGCATATTTATTCATGATATCGTGCACATCAAACTGATCAGTCGTCTTCGATTTCCTATCGATATATTTTATCATCTCTTTGCTGCATTCTTTAATCTGACTGTGCATCAGCTTGAGTTTACCGGATGTAAATCCCGGGCTTATTTTTTGTCTCATGATCTTCCACTTTTGGCCATTTGTGAATAACAAACTTCTACCCAAAAATTTAGCTGATGGTTCCATTTCTAACCCATGGTCTGTGAAGTGCGAAAAGTCCTTGATGAGCACGTTGTTTATTATTTCCGGATCTCGAATCATCAAGAAAGGCGTCCTCATCTGATAAAACCCACAAATTTTTTTATCTGGAAACTGTTTGTAAATGTTGTCGTACGTATCGTTAAGATTTTCAAGCATCATCGTCGTTCTATAAAAGTTCCCGAACAACGGTACCGGCTTCAAATGCGGCACGTTAGCTTTCCTCCATTTTTCGTACGTGGCTGTTGAATAATAATAAAACAGTATACCGATCACTGTGGTGCATATCAGAGTAAACGAATCAGTTAAACAATTGATCATCCACGAAATCATCTTTAGTTGTAAGTATTAAAATGGTTCCCAACTTTACGAACACGCAATTGTCACACACGACTGAACGACTGAACGGAGTCTCACTCAGCCACGTCTGTTTGTATAATTTTATAGGAACGCCATTCGTGGTTGTTTACAATTCATGATTACTCATACAAATTATGGCACACGATATAAACAGATACTTGCTTCGAGTATTGTTGTAATTTATATATGCACAGTGTTGATTATATTAAAATACACCGAGCTTATCATATAAAAAGTTTCAGTGGCGCACAGAGGTATTTTGAGAGCACATGCAACTATCTAAAGTTACCCACCCACCCCGTCCCACCCATTTTTTTAAATTTAAAAACAAAACGTTTTTTTATTGAACTGTTATCTGTAAGTGTAATTCACTTAAAATAACTAGAAATAATAATTAAGATGTCCACACCAGAAACCTGAGACGTCTTAGATCAGCTAGATCTTACCTTTACATTTCATTACAATACATTATAAATATAACATATTTAATACTCAATGAAATACAAAAATTTTAATTAAAAAAAAAAATAATAAGATTTTGTAATGACATTATACAGTTAACACTTTTTATTTTTAATGTAAAGCTTTAAATAAATATGGACTAGTTTTACTAAAATTTTCAATAACTTCTTCATAATTAATGTTTATGTCATTTTCACAGGACATAATCATTAGTCCTTCTAATCGATCATTTCCCATTGTAGATCGTAGTCTAGTTTTAATGAGTTTCAACTTTGAAAAACTTCTTTCAGTTGATACACTTCCAACTGGTAAGGTCAAAGACAGCTTCAACAAAATATAAATATTTGGAAATAGTGTATGAAGACCATTGCGCATAAAAACCCTGTAAAAAAAGTTGTACATAAATAAGTAATTTAATACAATTCAGTAAACATATTGAATCCAAGAACATTAAAAAAAAACATAGAAAATAGCAATACAAGATTTTTTACCTGATTACTGGTAACAAACTTCCATGATTTTCAATTTCATTTTTTAAAGAATCACTATCATCATCAACATCGTTATCATAATTTTCCGTTTCTAATTCGAATCTGAATCTTTAGCTATTTCATTATCACTATGTAAATATTTTGGCAACTCATCAGTTTTAAGAAAAACATCAAAACATTGTATGAAATTTAAATATTCATCACAAATGACTTCTGGTTTTAAATATTTAAAAAAAAATAAATATCTTATATACGCTGTTATTGGTATCTTATCACCATATTACCCGTATTGTCATTTTGATTACGTATACAAAAATATAATAATTCATAATATTAAATATTAAATATACGAGCGTATCAGCTAAACAGTGTACAACATTAATATTCGAATATTGTATTATTCTTGATTCAGATGATATAACAAATAACAATTATTACTGTTTCTAATACTTTATCATTTAATATGTTGTAATTATAAGTAACTTGTAACATCATATAAGTTGTCGTATAGCATTGTCATACTTTACTCGTTTACTCCTATAATTTATCTAGGTACCTATAACCATAGAGACTATACCTACCCACCCACCCCCCACGAAAGCACATGCAGTTGCACTCCTTGCTAACCTGTCTGGGCGCCACTGAAAAGTTTACTATGCCACTCGATTTGTCAAATGAGTTAAATGCTTAAGGTTTTTTTACGATTGAGTAATTGTTTTCCGCTCAGCTAAACTAAGAATAATACTGAACATTTCACATCAAAGATCGTATATCATTCATCGACCAATGTCATACATGTATAACTTGGAACATTGTCAACAATGTTGGTTGTATTTATATTTTGTATCTTTTTTTAAGTACTTGAATATGCGTTTTGGTTTTTGAGTAGATATATGGAATTGAAAACAGTTCATGAATATCGGATGAGAAATTTTCCGAGATCTTTGGCATCAAAGATCTCATTTTCACATTTTTTACATTTCTATAGATTATTCATGGGCTAATTATATTTAAATATTTTCCTTCACTATCACTCCACGCTTTATTATGTGTAAGATGGTCCAGTAGCCTATATTTGTTGCTGATCGGCAACCGGTACAAATACTATATACTGTTTACTAGGGCATCATACAATTATAATAAATAAGTACGATTCACTAATATCATAATATTGAATTATTTGTGTTTTATATCACTTTTAATTACAACTTGTTGTTTTAATCCTGTACTACGCGTCGTCTCTATAGTCACGACTATAAATACCATACGCAAGTGTATGATCTTATACTTCTGGTTATCCGGAGATAAACATAATATTCTTTATGTTCATAGAGTACCTATGCGAAGTCCATCTTGAGACCATCATAATAATATATAATATCTAATGAAGTATGATTAAATGAATATAATATGATATTAACTTTAAATATTATCTCGGTACTTCAATATACATTATATACGTATAACCTGTTAAAGTATGCACGTACTTAGCACGATTATTAAATTATGTAGTTGCATTTATATACATATTACAGTGTGAATGTATTATACATTTAAACATAATACATACATATATAATATGTATTTGTTTTTATTGTTTTTATTTACTTACAGTCAAATTTAAAGTGAGGATATAATAAATATATAATTATAACGAATAGTGGCTGGGTAGACAGGACACAGGAAATTTCACTTTTGGTATTATACTACCTACTCCAATATTTGGTTTAATGATAATGTAATAGGTAACAACATTAATTTAAAACGATAAACCGGTAGTTACAACATAATCATCATATAATATATAAGTATAGATATGTTTTCAGTTTTGTATTTATTGACTTTTCGATTTAAACATTCAGAGGCGTTCTCAGGATTTTTTATTGGGGGGGGATATGAAAATTTATTTAACGGTGAGCCGTGGTAGCAAAGCCCCCACCCCTTTTTTGAATTAAAAAACAACATACATTAAATTATAACAATACTATATTTTTAATTAAAATATTAATTCTACAAAATTATATCCAGTTTTCTTGATTTTTGAGCCATCACATCAAGAACTTCTTTGGCATCAATTGGAATTTCTCTATGAACGGCCAACAATGTTAAGCCGTTAAGACGATTCTATGAATGAAATATAATTATATAAAATATGATATACGAAGTTATAATATTAATAAAAATATGTACTCCTTACTTCAGTCATTGAGTTTCTTAAATAGGTTTTTAGTCGTTTCATACATGAAAATGATCTCTCGGGAGTGGATGTAGATACTGGAATGGTACATAATATTTTTAATAATTTATATTATTTTGAAAAAAAATTTAGGAGACTACTATTCCTTTTCATTTTGAATAATTTACAATTTACAATTTTTATTGAAAAGAAGGAAATAAGTTTGATGAAAATCGTAAAATATTTTAAATATTATCACGTAAAATACACAGATAAAAATTATTATTTGTAATCAATAATATTATTATACATAATCAATGCTACCAGTGCTACCACCTTACTTGCTTTTATTAATAATTATAATGGTATTATATCATTATAATGTTCAATATCAGATACCTTAAAAAAGTTATACCTACCTACCCGTTATTTAGCACTAAAAAAAAAAAAAAAAAAAGGCCATGGGGGGGGATCTATCCCCCATATCCCCCCCCGTGAGAACGCCCATGTAAACATTGTTGTTGAATTCGAAAAACTTTATCACGTTACCTAATCAATTATTATATATTTACTATACAATTTCACTTCAGATCCATTATAGTAATATTACGACTTAAATAAGTGTCACATTGAAATCACATGTTCAAGACGTCACTTTATAAAATTAAATATTTTCATTATTTTTTATCTGATAATAGTTTGCCTAATTCTTAAAACAAGAGATGAACATTCTAAATTTGTCAAATTTGTTGTAAATTCGTGTTCTAAATAATTTCCTCCTTTCAACACGTTACACGTGTAAAGGATTTAAAGAGCTGAGGGGAAAAAATAATAAAAAGCGTGGACAGAAGGGTTGAATTCTCCTGTATAAACTCGTCAGGTAGAAAAGATTTTTGCATACTGGTAACTTCCATGGATTAAGGACGGGATTGTGACAAGAATTAAAAAAACAGGAATTTCTGCAGCCGTGTAGTAGATTTTAGGTGTACCTCGTAATTGTGACAACTATAATAGATTATGAATGTGCTAAATTTTTCTTCAATAATAAATCATTATTTACCTACGAATTATAATTCTGTATTTCTGTGAGTTGGAAATAGAATTTCTTAGGATATTTTATAATTGTTTTTATATTACCACAAGGTACTATACCATAAGAGTAATTTATTTTTCAATTCGAAAGTTATACTGTAGGTTAAACTAATTTTTGACAACATTAAAACATACATAATATGATTATATTATGTCATAACTCACATTATAAGGCCCTTCTCTCTATGATTCTACTCGTACGACCAACCCATCAATATAAGTAATAGGTACCAAATAAATAATAATAATAAAATATATACTATATAACACATAAAACTACCATGAAAAAATGTATCTGAATACATATACTCAAGCCTAAAACTTAAAAGTGAATTATTGAACACTTTTTGATCCCCGTCTGAAATGTAATGATTCATTAAAAATAATTGTCGTAATTGAGTATAGGTGCCTACTAACTACTAAGTACAGGTACCTAGGTCACTGCAATTAGTTAGGTATGGATATGCTACATTTAAATTCAATAATAAATCACTGTAAACCAACTAATAAATAATTTTGTTTTATATTTTTATTTATTTTTATTACATCGTATATTGTTGTTATTGAATTATATAAATCAATGTCAACGTATTGTGGTAGGTGTAATTTATTTTATTTTGGTGTTCATTAAATCACAACCAACAACTTGAACGCGTTTAATATAACAAAATAATAATTTTCTCTTACGACTTGAGTAAAAGTAGTTAAATACTTTTCAACTTTCAAGTACCTACTCGAATGCGTATTTTGAATATTTTTAAATAGATTACTTGGACAATGATCGGTGCCTATTTAAAATAAATTATTAGTTTTTAGTTACCTAATATATTGTCTATTTTTAATTATATTTACATAAATATTTTATTAAAAACTTCACTTCAGTTTTAGAACTAAAACAAATTAAATATGTAAAACTGTTAAAAGTAGTCTATTTTGTGTCAAGCCCGCACCGAAAATTTTCGGTAACGTTTTTCCATCCAGGTAAAATCGAAATCCCAAGAAATGCTGGGCATATCCCCTGCACAACCAAACACCGAAATCTAGGGCACCCGAGAATTGGACCAAAATTCATCTTCTAAAAAAAAGGTATGCGATAACTGAACGGTACTGTTGAATCAGAATGAAAGTATTTGAAAAAAAGATATTTATTATTTGACAAATTGTATTTATATTTGTTAGACAAAAAATAATAATTAGTTAATAATAAACTTTATAAATTCGTATTAATAGAATATTTGAGTGCTATACTTTTATGGTCCAATCTCCGGGTAGTAAAATGTAAACAAATATTTTTTGTGATGCAGATAGTTACCAAATAGTAGAAATGTGGCCCAATTCGCGGGCGCCCCAAATCTATACCATGGTCCTTACCAGGGAGGGGTCCTATTCAGGGAGGGGCCTGGGCCCAGCTCCCCCCCCAGACATATTATTCCTCAAGTATTTTTGATAATTCTACAGATCCTAATATTTCTATGTTTCAAATTACATGTAGGTATATCTGATAATACACGGTGAAACTTCCATATAACGAACTTCCATTTAACAACATTTTCTATTTAACGAATTATTTTTGAGAACCATGACCTTCATTGTTAATTAAACGTACATTTATCTCCTAATAACGAATCTGATGTTTCTATAGAACGAAATAATTATTCGATAAAAACTGGTTTTGTAAATGTTGTCACTATCAAATTTTAAACATAGTTCTAAAATTGTGCATGAACAATGTATCCGATAAAGATAAGACACCGGAGGTAGTCAAACTCATTAGTTTTATTGCAGTAGGTATTTTAAAACTTAATGATATAGAAACTTTTTAAGAAAAAAGTACAATTTATAAAAATAATAAGCAAACAAAGTCACTAAGTATTTCTTTTGAATTACAAAATTAAAAACTAAATTAAACTGTAATATTATATTTGATGTTATTTTTTACATAACGTATACAACATAGAAGTATATACACACATCCAATAACATTTTTAAAAAAAGTTGAAAAAAAAACGTAATTCTATTTAACGAATTCCTCCATATTACGAATTTTTTTTGCTGCTTATTCGACTTCGTTGTATGGAAGTTTCACTATAATATATTATTATTTATTATACGTATCATTCTGGGCTGCACAAACCAAGTTAGTGCTATCTTAGGACTTAGTGCATGGTGGATAGTGATTCCAATATTGTAATTTTACATTAACAACAAATTATGCCCCCCCCCCCCAGATCTTTGCTCTAGATCCGTGCCTGTCCTTACAAAATATAAACTTATGGTTACATCTTATAATCATATAATATTATAACCTCCTTGTATGACGCGTAAACATTTTTCATGAAACTGTTGTCAACTTTTTCGTAGAATTATAGTCTCGTCGTTTATTTTAGCAGACGTCGATTAATGTAGAGACAATGAGACATGATAACAAAATAGTATGTTTGGCTCGTGCGGGAAGGCAATTTCAGTCTTGGGCGCTCGCGACCGAAATACGCATCACTTTTTCCTGGCCACTCAATATACTATTTGAATTTCAATAAAGTTCTTACCTAACTAAAATCATTATTTTTCTTTCAAATATATTAATTTCTCCAAAATTAGCTTAAAATTTCTACATTTAATCAAATTTATATTTGTACTAGATTTTTTGGATGCAGTATTAAATACTCGTGCGAACAACCTTGTATTACATTTTCAAGCATTTTGAATAAATGAAAACATATTACATACACTTATGGAAAAAACAATTTAATTTAAAACTGGTTAGGTCTAACACATTTTACAGTTTTCTCACCAGTCTTAAGTGTACATGACTACATACATTCAAATATGTACAGATACGTGTTTAAAATTTTAAGCACTCAGATCGGTGTCATATTTGTATTTGAAATGCGTATTCGAATACCTACCGTCTTTCAAAAGTATTTGAGTATAGATATAAATTATAAATACACTTTGAAAGTATTAAAAATACTAGACAAATATTTTTTTTGTATACTACAAATATATTTGTACAATATGTAGCCATGTAGCCATGTAGGTATGTTTATCAGGAATGTATACTTAAGATGATTACCTAATAAATATTTAAGAGACCTACTCGTATGTCTTTAATAAGAGGCATTATGCATTTTTCGTAATAAACAGCATTATACCTATATTCTATAATATAATGAAACGAAGAGGAATGTATTAAATTTTACTGGCGTAGTGGCGTGGGTAATAATCATAGGTAGAAATAGGATTCTAAAGATTATAGAAAAGTCAACTGAACTGAAGTCTAAAATGGGTAAGGTCAAACCGTCATTCTCATATCTCAACTAAGGCACGACAACCTGACTAATAAGTAATAACTTATAAGTTATAAGTATAATAACTAAATATCAAACATAGTCATTATAAATTATAATATAGTATTGGTCCATAAATTCAAAACACCTATATAAGGTGATCCATTTAACATAAGACACTTATTCTTTTACATAGGTACCTAACTAAATAACTTTAAAACATTACAACACAACATTTGAAAAGAAATTGTATTTTTTTTTAATCATTGTAATTGTTCATACGTTTTTACTCTTTTAAATAACAACATTCATTTTTAATTTAAGAAAATATTATTCGGAATATTTGAATTAATAAAAATCAAATTTCAGACAAATAGTTAATTAGCTATTCTCACCACACCAATAAACTTAAAACGTATCCTTTGTGACACTAATTATACATACTTGCGCATTATATGCACTGAACTGAAATTTATAGACAGTATATTATAATTGTAAAAAATATAAACTTGAGTTGATAAATATTTTTAGGTGAATATATATGGGGGCAAAACAACCAGGAGTTACTTTTCTGTAACATCAAGGGGGGCTACAGAGTATAGACCCACATCCACCAACATTTTAGACAGTTGAGCCACTGCACAATAGTTAAAAGTGCAGAGTTACATACGTTTTCTAGTTAGTAAAATATGAAATATTTAAATACCATAATACTAATGACTTTCAGGAAAGAATAAAAATACCATAATATTAGGATATAGAGCACACATTATTTAAAAGTGTACAAATTTAACTTATACATACACGTTTTATTTAATTTTCTAGTTGAATTTGATTAAATGGTTTGGAAACCTTAAAACATGTTTGGTTGTAAACAGTATGTAACAGTATGTTAAGGTCCAATTGTTGCTCAGACAACTACTTAAATATGGTTTAATGCCCAGTGGGTATTGATAGAAGGAATATGGGACATGTTATCGGTAGGAAAAACAATATTATGAGGGGTATGTTTTATTAGCATTATTTGAGCAACACCAATTTTTTTTTTTTTGATACATACCACTGCATGTAATATCAATTTTTAGATATTTAAAAAAATTAATTAGCTCCTTTTTAAAAATTTTTCAACCGCTGAATAACTTAAATAAAATCATTGCTCAATCATAATCATGAGAAATAGAACCTTCTGCTTTAAAATAATATACAAATATAATAAATAAATAAATTACATATTATTATAAGATACAAATGAACCTATTAAATTTAAAAATGTATATTATTGTTAATAATATTTTTTTTCGTATGTGTATTTTAAGAATCATCTTCTGTGTCTTCGAAAATCATGTTAAGTAAGTCAGTTTTCAAACATTCTTCCACTTGAAGTTTATGCAATGTACCCCATCTAAGCAGTGTAGGTAAAAACTGCAACCTTATTTTTTTATCCAACTTAAATGGATTGTCATTGTTATTCTTCCATCTGTAAGAAAAATAACACATGTAATAATTATTGAAATTTCAGTTTCCCAATATAAAAAAAAAACATTATTTTATGTACACTAAACATTAATATACTTTTTCCTATTTCTAATACCATATGTCCATGTTTATAAATTAAAAGTAATTGTTAATTACATCCGATTTAGGTGAATACAAAGGTCTTTTAATTTGCATTAACTATTTAATATGGTTGATGAAGTCAAATTCACTTTCACACTATTGTGCATTAATGAATGTATATAAACATGGGATGAAACATAGCAATAAATAATAATATATCTAATTGTAAAAATATTTTTTTACAAATACAATATTAACTTCTTCTCAAAGTCTAATTTTATGTACACTAACATTTAAATTAACTTTATTATTAATAATAACTCTATTTTTATTTCATACAAGATTAACTTTATAATTAAAAATTAAAAAAATTACCAGTTTAAGTTATAATCTATACAATGATAAAAATTGTTACTGAAAAATAAGTTTATAATACAAATTTTCACCAGACATGACTTGCACATATGATTTGACCACCATTATTTGCACTCACAAGGTAATATTATGCTGCCATAAAAATAGTATAAGAATGAAGAATAAAGAGTTATAATGTAATAAAGCATTTATAATTAAATTAAAATTTTTAATTGGATACCTTCCCACCCAAACTTTAGTTATTATTTAAGGTTTTAGTAATTTAACATAATTAGTAAAAATGTTTGTACATACTTATAAGTTTGTTTTTATTCATAAAACATAGTATACTATACATCTATATTCTATAGTCTATAAAACATCTATAAAACATTGAAAGTAATACATTTTTATTTTTTACCATTACTAATGATGTTATTTTTTTGTTATTGTTTAATTATTAATTTAAAATGCATAAAATACTAAAATGTAAGTATAAGGATAACTTAATTTGTTCTAACATTACTTTGGAGTTTCCTTAAAAAAAATAGTTGAATCCTCTTTTCAAGTACAAGATATGTACAAGATATATTATGTTGTACTGTATATAATTATTTATCAAAAATACACTTTAAAACTTACTCTTCTCTTGTGCCAACTTGAGCGTACACAATATTTGTATCTTTTAAATGTTCCTCATTGTGTTCAATCTGTTTCTTGATGACTGGATCGGCTATATCAATTAAATTATGATTGAAAAAAAGGAAAAAACATCAATAAAAATTGTTACTTTACTGCTATGGCCGACACTAAGTGTGCCATACAATAAGTATCAATCACATACCAATAACGCAGTCCGAACACCAACTCTCACCGCTCTCGTCGGGCGTGCCGGTGAAAACGACAAAAGTCTGCTGTTTGGATTCCTCCAATGTTTTCATGAGCGCAATAAACTCTTCATAGTTTTTCGTACGATGCGAGTGAACCATGTTTAGTATTTCAAATAAATTTATGCAATATTAGTTATTACACATAAAAAACCTACAGCAAGAGTAGTAGTGTAAGTGGCAACTTTAAGTGAGTAAACAAGGGTGTGTCATCAATCGACAATAATATTATTATTAAATTAAGGTAAGTTATACCAGTGCTTATCGTAAAAATATCACGAGACTAAAGAGGTATCATAAGTATGTGAGTTACGAATATTTTCATTATCGTCGACGTTCGGAGATTCCAGCAGGTGGTTCGTGGACCGTAGTTTTTAGTACTTTAAACTTTTAAAAGTAGTTTTAGTACTATTTACAACCAATACAAGTATTGAAGACTGAAATATTAAACATAAATTACACAACATCAAAGTTCAACGTGTTTAACATTGGTTGTTGTTGTAATTAATAATTATTGTTACTTGTTGTTGTTGTTGTTTTCGCTGTTATCACTCAACTCCCGATGTGATAGCGGTGATAGTCGACGATTGAGTGGGGAGGACGTGGTATGCGGACTACGCGGCTCACAGACCTTGAGCTGCAGTTGAGCATGCTTGGACCACTATTGATACTATCAGACCGAAGTCGGTGGCGTTTCCCCCGTTCGATGTGACTGGGGTTATCAATAAATGTTTGTACAACCACAGAGACGACTGCGAAATTTCTCTCCTCAGCCCTCGCCGCCCATACAGTAGCCGTTCGTACGTGAGTGTGCGTGTGATAACGTCACTTCATAGTTGCGACGTCCAGCGGTGTACCAGTTTTTGTTTTTTTACAGATCTCTACATATGTCCTTTACAGACTCGTGAGTAATAAAAAGTCATTGTTTTTATTGTTTAATTATATATTTTTTTAATTAGAAATCGTTACACATAAATGCAATAATTATTTAATCACACTCGATAATTGGTTCCACTTTACCCGAGTCCCAACAGACTTCGTCGAGCGACAATGTTATAATACCAGAGCTCGATTATAACATTAATCGTTAATATTTTAACAAATCACCAGTGACTACATACACGTAGGTGAATTTTAAGGTTTATTCCTCCTACTCGTCAGTCCATTAATTCATGTTGCACCATTTTTTTAAGATTTTATTTTTACTTTTTATTATTGTTTACATTAGACTACTGTAATTTATTGATTAATAATATATAAATATATTATATGTAGATAATATATATATATACATATATATTATAAACATATTTGGGTACGCGGCACTTAGCTCAGTCCTTGATGTCATCATTCTCGATCAGTTCCGGTCACCACACATTGTACGGCACCAAAGATAACTTGGTGGACCAAGACTTTAATTGGCATTGTTATAATAACTTTAACAACCATCAAAAGGTTTGTTTATATACTACCAACAATTTGAAATGTACTGTCGCAGACATTAACATTTTAATCTAACATATGTTGGTAATGATATCTACAATTATTGATGCGCTTCGAAATTGGATATGTTGCAGCCTAATTTTCTTCATGCATGAATGGATTGATTTCAGTTGGTTTATGAATTATGATAAATAATAATAAGTCATAGGCCGCAAAAAACTATCTATCAATAGTTGGCATTTTTTTTAAACTTAATTTTATATATATATATATATATATATATATATTTAGTTAACAACATGCAAATGTCAAAACAAATACTAAAAACAATATTTGAGGTGTGGTTAACTCAAACCAAATATCTATATAACCATGGTCTGTGAGTTTTTTTAATCTAATTTTTAACCATAAGGAACTACAAAACCAATTTCATATGATCTTCGCAAACCTGCTGTTAAATTTTTTTTTCTTAATCAAGTATTAAAGATCTAAATTAGACTAAGTGACTAATAAATTAGTTCTAAATTGTTTTTGGATATTGTAATGCATTAGTAGTTCATTATTACTGAATATTATAATACCTACCTACGGTGTTGGTATTTAAATGTCAATTAGTTTATTGTCATTAAGAAAATCATAGTTGAAAATCACAATCTAATTTGGTGTATTTTATTTTATAGAAGTGCAATAACATGTCGCAGTGCGACGTTACAGAAGCCGGAGTCCCGCTCAACTCGCCTGCTTTTCTTTCTTGGCGTAAACTTCAATTAAGTAGAGCTAAACTCAAGGCTTCAAGCAAAACATCAGCGCTTTTATCAGGCTTTGCTATGGTATGTCAAAATATTTAGTTGTGTATAAAATATATTAATTATAATTACATAATTAAAAATATTAACTTTCTATAGGTGGCAATGGTAGAGATGCAAATTAGCGATGATTCTAAAGTACCAGAAGGAATGCTTATAGCATTTGCTGTATGTACCACCCTTTTAGTTGCTGTTCACATGTTGGCTCTTATGATAAGTACATGTATTTTACCAAACATTGATGCTGTATGTAATCTCCACTCGGTAAGTCTCGTACATGAAGCTCCACATGAACGTCTACATTGGTATATAGAAACTGCATGGGCGTTTTCAACACTCCTTGGTCTTTTATTGTTCCTAGCTGAAATTGCCATACTATGTTGGGTCAAATTTTATGATATATCTAAATATGCAGCATGGTCTGCTGTGATTATGTTGATCCCTGTCCTAGTGATATTTTTAGCATTTGCAATACATTTCTACCAATCGATGGTAGCCCATAAGTATGAAGTGACTGTGAGTGGTATTAGACAATTAGAGCTTCTAAAAGAACAGATTGAAGCTGGGGACTTAGAACGCACAAATGGATTATTACTGAATACGCCAAGTACACAAATTGTTTGACATTACCTTCAAGTGAGCAAATGTCCTAAATAACCGTTCAGTTCTTATAATAAATATAATTTATAATGGTGCTTTATTAAACAAAACTTTGAAAAATGTTCACATAATGACATAATGTGTTACTATGTTTGACTTATTATCTTGACTGTTGTCTGAACATTTTATTTTTACCATTTGCCATATATCTTACCTATACTATAAATTAATCTTGTTACTCTAAATATTTGATGAATACAAGCTACACATAGTATATATTATATTATATTTTATATTATTTTTCTTTACGGAGCTCAACATTTCCTAGACTAATTATAAAGTTTTAAGTTTTATATTAATAAACTTTTGTTAAATTGTATATATTTTAACTTTAAACAATGTAATAGAATCTATATTACTTTGCCAATCTGAAAAACTAAACATTATCTAGTAACTTTGTTATTATATCTTCTATATGTTACTATATACATAGTCATTTATTGGCCTTTGATCAAATATGCTACATAAAAATAAAGAATGTTATAATTATACTAACTCACAAAAGTGAATCCTTTAGGTATTTTAATTTTTAACTTTATTATTTTGATGCAGTTTAATACATTTCTAAGAACACTTCTGTTTGGTGTTAGTATTGTTAATTATAGCATAATATATTAGGTAAAACATTTTTGGTTTGTATTTTTTACCATATATTTTTAATATAATTTTTTATACAGATATTTCTCTGTCACATATTTTTCACCTTCTACGCAAAAAAGGTTAATAGCATTTTTTTTCATTCAACTCATAATAATTTTGTTTTATATTATTATTATTGTTATTATTTTTTTTTTTTACGTATACATTGTTTTTATTTTCATGTGATTTAATTATTATACCTACAATATTGTTGTTCAGATAGTTCTATGTTATATTATATGTGCATAATATATATATTTATAAGAAAAACAATGATTTCAATTCATTCCATTTGTTAAAACTATTCATTACAATTCTATTCTTGTCTCTAATGACGTTAATGTTAATGAAACTAACGCTTAAATGCTTAATGTATGTAATGTATATGTACTTATTAGAACTCTGTACACTTTTCAAAATTGTGATGTATTTTTGTATACAGGCGATAAGCAATAATAAATGTTAAAATATTGAAATTGCTGTTTTTGCTGTGAAGAGTGTAACCTTGATCAGTTAATCGATACATGATATTATGACGCGATATCAATAACACTTTATGAAATAATTTTTCTTTCTATTGTTTAGAACAAATGTTTATTGCTTTTTAACACGGAATGGTCCATTTACCTGGCTATTTAAATTATCTATTACATTTTTATAAAGTTTAAAATATTAATCAATTTTTATTCACACATGAAAGTAAAATCACAGTCTGTGGTAAAATGTTATTTTTATGGCGTTGGTATAGATATCGGATATAAGATGAACGGAAACAATTGTAAAGGGGTACCCCTCAAGCTGTAAAATGTATGATTTACTGACTATTGACTAATACTCTGCTCATCAAACCGTTTAATATTTTGAAATGTTTATTCATAAAGAAAAGATACCTAGTTGAAATGTACTACCTATATAATATTCTACATCTAACTTTAATGCATCTCTATTTTTAGATAATACATTTAAGTTGTTAGAAAAATAAAAAAATAACAGAATAATTACTTGTTTTCTTTAAATGTAATTTTATAAAATATTAATATGAAATAAGTTATGTTTCAACCTCAAAATAATCGACTTAGACAATAAGTGTTGTTAAATGGATCATCCCGTATGTGCTATGCATATCATTTATTATTTCCCAAGAACCCCACAAATTATTATTTTAATCACATTCACTTTTATTTTTTACTATTAATATTCTCAATAATTTCAATCATGACCATTTTGATTTCATCATGAATTATCAGACAGATGTATGTGATTATAATATAATATTATTATTGCAGCGTGTTTTTAACTAAATATTGTCATGAAAAAATTAGCAGATCTGTTATGTTTAAAATGCAAGATGCAAGAATATGAACAGTGTTAATACCTAACTATCATTAGTACTAATAGTGTTGCTAATAACCCTACGTATACCCACGTCAATACTATGTAATTAATCATATTTCCAGAAAAACTTTTCAAGTAAGTTGATTAGGTTGTTATTGTTGTGCATAACATTTTTTCACATTACGACGAAGATTGGTTTTTGTTCTCCCATCGATACGCCGTGACTCGTAACATATTAAATTTATCGACAATCTTAACTGCGTACAAGCGGGTCCCGTGCTTCAGTGCTTGTTTTAATATTACGAACACTTTAATCGTCGTTTTTATGGTGTTCTTAACCTTATTCGTTATTAGTTATTATTGTCTTTACTACGTTTATTTATCTTACAATTTATAAAATAATGTTAAATTCGTAAAACGTCATAGGGTTTGTTTCGCCATTCGAACGGTATAGAAATAAAATATTATTTTTTCTCTTGTGCAAATGCCTTTTCAGTATATTTTGGAAAGAACGTCGTTCACTCGTTCATGAACGCACGTTCACACGTTCACGTTCATAAATAGTGAACGATACGTGAACGTCACTTGTATTTTTAAAATAGAACGTGAACGTGAATGACGTTTATATTTTTAATGAACTTGATCGATTTTTAAGACGTTTAATTTATTTACCATTTAATACATTTATTTTTATTAATCATATTATAATAATATTTTTCACTATAGTTCCTATTATATCGAATTAAAATTTAATTAGTAATTACTGAGAAAAAAAATTTAATGAACGCCCAATAAACGAGTTCCTTTTTTAAGTACTGAACGTGAACGTGAACGAGTTCATTTTTTTAGTGAACGTTCCGAACACTGCCTTTTACAAACCGCATAAAACCAAAACTGGAATTCGGTGCGCGAGATGAGGGTACCAAATATTATTATTATCATTGTATTTATTCATTTAGCTATTACGACAGTAATGGAATAGGTACGTAAGGTGTAAAATGTATTATTCGGTTCGCATGAATAATAATAATGGTTCGACAAAAATAAACGAACCGGAGTTCAGAAAACTCGTTTTACAAAGAAAAGAAATCTAAAATCGTTCGATTCGCAGCCGCCGCCCTAATACCTCGCCCGAAAAACAATCTACAGAAATTACACCATTATTATATTTTATAATCGTCGCCGTCGCCATTGAAACATAAATAATAATATACGAAGAATAAAACACGTTTTATGGACGTCGGTCGGTTGCGGGCGACGGACGGAGCGTCGTTTGAAAATTCCGTCGACATCGATTATTTTCCGTTCGACCGCCATTCTCTCCGTCGTCGTTATAACTCTTATTATTTTGCGCGGATCTCGATCATTATTAGCGGGGGGTTGCCTGTCGAATAACAGTCGTTTGCGAATAATAATGCCGTCTCTTGGTTTTTATTCATTCCGAGCCGGTGATACCCATTGTTGTGTGATAAATAATAAGAACAATAATAATAATAATAATAATAACGCGCATTGTGCTGCGGCCAGGACTCCCCGCCGACGGGTCGAAAGGGGAAAAAACGCGATAAAACAATAATAATATTCTCAGGGTTGCCGAGGTTCCTCGAGGACAACACGAAGCCAGAAGCATATTTTCTGAAAACATTTGTGGCAAAAAAAAAATTTATAAAAACGGTTATAATAGGTGGTGGCCATCTAGGTTGCTGGAAGGCTGCAGCCAGATGCCGATGCTGGGCGCGCTCTCTACAACTAGAACGCCATTGACCGTGGTCGTGGCGCCCGGCGGAGGGGGTGTGAAATATTTTGGGCGATAAGCGACCCGGTGGGAACGCCGCCTCGTCGACAATAATAAAACGCTCGTGCGGCGGAGCGGCCGGCCCGACGCCCGAGCGGCGAGTAATGAGCATTGTTGGAATACTACTGCGCGTCGCGCCGACGCCGCCGCTCGGTCGTCGTCGCCGTGTTGATGTCATTGTTGTCGCCCGGCTCGCCGCTGTGTGCGTGCGTGTGACACGGCGAGTGTTTTTTTCGACTCAACCTTGGGAAGCGGCGGCGGCGACGGCGACGACGACGACCGGGTTTTTGTTTTTCCCGATGTACAAACGGAAAACATTATTTTGTTGATCGAAATCCGGTGCGCATGCGCCGCGGCAACAACGCGCCGCGGCCGGCAGTTGTTCACTAAACATTGTTTTATAACGTGAACTAAACCCAAGGCCGGTGCAGTTTGCCATCAACCATCGAAACGCGCGCCCGTTTCCGCCGCCGATTGCTCTGCTACTGTGCTCCTCTTGCATCTTCTTCTTCGCTGTCCGTCGGCTGGCACAATAATATTATATTATTATTTTCACAATAATAATTATTGTTATAATTATTTAAAATCTCCCGCCGTCGATAAAACTATTATTATTGTTGCTTGGTTTGTCTGGTGTTTGTTATTTTTTGACACCGTCGACCGACCCCGCATGCGTGCCTCTCGACTGCGTGTCTCCACCACTCGAACAGTCCGAAATTCGAAACGAAAGCCCAACGGTTTTCCACTCTCGTCCGTCGCGCGTCGAGCGAGGTCGTGGAACTTCGGTGGTTGTGGTGGTGGTCCGCGTACCCTGTTCCGGGGCGGCTATGGAGTGGTACCGGGAGCAGACCATCCAGCTGATCGACTTGTTCCGGAACCGTCCGGCCCTGTGGGACACCAGTTCTGTGCACTACCGCAACAAACGCATGAAGAATGAGTCCCTGGAGCAGATCAGCACCAAGCTCAAGTGTCCCAAGGAGGAGATCGCCAAGAAGATATGCACGTTGCGCGTGCAGTTCAGCCGGGAGAACGTCAAGGTGAAACGGGCCCGGGAATCCGGTGGCGCCGCTTACATCCCCAAGTGGTTCGGCTACCAGCTGCTGTGTTTTCTGAACGATCAGTCCCGGTACACGTCGCTGCCGATCAACAACTGTTCGTCGGGCGCCGCCACTGCTCCGGGGGCGTCCGGAGGAGCCATGTCAGGCGGCGGCATGGTCGCGCAAAACGTGAGTAATGTAATATATTATGCCGCCGTACGATGTCGTCAATTTTTATTCAGCATTATCATCAAACGAGAAATAATTTGAAATGCTACGGTGTAACTGGGTTCGGTGATCTACTCACAATGTGGTCGATGGACGTGTACCAACCAATAGTTCCGTCGGTTGTAGGTGGGACCAGCGGCGGTGACTGTAGAGCCTGCTTGCTTCTGATTTACCCCCTCCCACCATTTAAAGACATGACGTCTGCGTAGTCCTCTACGAATTTATTACTTACGTTTAAAAGTCACTGAAGCTGGACAGTAATAGTCTAATCGGAGTACGATTTAAAACTACGTCCATCGACATGTGTTCCTACGCGTAATATGGTATCCATACTAGTTTTAATGTTGTGCTCCCCCCCCTCTCGACCCCGGAGGGTTTGAGGCCCTACCGTATTCAAAACAGCTCCTCGAAAAAATCTGTACATTGTGCTAACGTTCTGTGACGTCTTGTGAGAAAATTTTCTTGCCAACAGTCTTTTGGTCTATTTCTAGCCCTCCGAGTCGACAATTATAGCAGTATAGAATGCGGTAGGATGCACATTATAAATTAGGTATCGTTATCGGTTTCAGCTGATTTTTTCAACATTCCCTGGGATTACTACAACGAAAACCGGAAATGATTTCGGAACCACATACACCGGGCGGTCGAGACGTGAAAAAACGCTCGCAACTTGCATCGTGGGGCGCACTGCTTTGTCGTGTACGTTGTTACCGTTACCGTTGCGATTTGGCGACGCTTATCGCTCAGCGTAGACAGCGCGACGCTTGCGCTTGGCGGTATAAAGTATCAGGCCGCCCCTCACGCCGCCCATTGCTGCTGCATGATAATTGCTCCGTCTGCTTGACGAGAGCCGAAGGGTTCGGAACGGGGTGATCGCGCTAATACGTTTTACCCTCGAGTTTGGAAACCGTCTGTACCAATGACCATATTATCCGTAATTGATTATTTTAAAAGTTGTTACGATCTATCTCCTCTGGGTGCATGTCATCGTCATTCCGACTAATATAAGGTTCGATCTGTGTGTGTGTGTGTGGGAGGTGTCATAATTTACCTTTATTGTCGAATTTTATATGTATTTTGTATATACTTCAAAGACGTGATCAACTATTATAATAATATATTTCTGAGATGACTAATTTTGTAAGTACATTGATATAAAAGCTACGTTGTCTTACAGTTTTTACATTTAAGGGTACTTTTCTTTTAATCGATGAACGTACTGACATCGAATCTTAAACCGCTCCTGCAAATATGTTTTGCATATTCACCCGCAGAAATTTGCCCAAAGGGGGCCTTTGGTTGAGGTTTTTTAAATGATTATATAGTTAGAATTCTGAGAGGAGTTTAGTCTATTTTTGTTTACATTTTTACATTTACGCCATGAAGTTTTTTATCAATTATATATTACTTTGTTTTGAATTACAACAATTCAATAAAAACTGGAATATTCGTCAATCTACTGGTAGTAGATAATTTTTAATTTATATCGGTAGGAATAAAATAAAATAAGTGAACCTGTATTTTACCTAACCTGTACGTCTTGCGGTACTCTCAAAGAAACGACCGTAATCTCATGTACAATTTCAATCTTTTACTCAAAGCTTTTCAAACTCATTCAACCCTTAAAAGTTAAAATTAATATTATAATATACAATATAATATTGTCACCAACCTACAATATACTAGCTAACTAACTATGATTAACTGTTATTTAACTGTAACAAAAACACCTAATTATTCTAAAAACAATAAACGATGAAAATGTATTGTTGCCTTTGCGAGCATAATTCGACAGTTCGAAAGTATAATTTAGGTTGGCTATGGTAAAAAAAAAACGTATAAATGATAAAAGTGTCGTTGGACTGCGAGCTAGAAAATTATAGTACAAAATACAGCAGTATCATTACGTCCTACTTTTTAGATAAATAACATTATTTCCACGTCGTTCCCTTTGTTCGGAATACACATATCATTATTTTGATAATATAGTTAAAATCTAACCGACAAGGAAGTTTTGTGTTATAATTCATTCTAGTACTGGTAAAGTGTGCGATCTACCATCGGTTTTTGGTTTACCGTATTCCTCGCACAATTTTTCTAAACTTTATTTCATAATGATTTATGATGTTTATCAATGAATAATATTATTATATTGTTAATGTTTGATGTCGACAAATATACGATATCATTGTTGTATTCCCTTCGATGATCATTATTCATTGTACGTATGCATGTAAATAATCATCGATAAAATTTAAATACAAATTTCAAAATAGTAAATTACTACTTAACCGCATTATTCTCTCCCTGACGCAAAAATATTATTGTCTCCCCGTTTGGATAATCAGATTTTGCACTCCTCAGTAAATTAGTATTTAAAAATTACAGAGTGTTCCAATCATATAAATGTATAAATATATGGACTGCACGAATCTAAAAAATAGCCATACAAAACAAAACTAATTCATTATCAATAAAAATTAATTATTCATATAAATTATATTATTAATTTTATAGTAATTGAGTCATATATAATCTTATTGATGATTTTTTTCTATCCCGTAGGTTATACTGAAAATTATTATGAAAATATTATAGGTAGTGACTAAGGAATTAGGATATTAATTATAAAATAATAAATACAATTTTGATTATTTCAATTTACTCCTCTTCGGTAGGATATTTTACGAAAAATGATATAGGTATAATAATGCGTTAGTGTATAACGTTTATGATAAAATGTTATTACTTATTATGATCTGTCCTCTGAATAATCAGAGACTTGAACACCAAATATTATTTATATAAGTGTTATAAAAAATATCTAAAAATTTGAACACTTTTCAGATATGTTTATAAAAATGACTTTGTTTTCAAATCTAAAATAATAATAACAATACACTAACCTCTTTTTATATTTTTTATACAGTTTGGAACAAAGAACTTTCATTTTTCAGTTAGAAAATGTGTTCTAGTTAACCATTTGAAAAGGTCAATTTTTGATATTTCAAGCAGTTTTCTCACGCCTAAATACGTATAAATGAAAACCATCGAAAAAAACGCTACATTGCTGTAAAATTAATACATAGGTTTGCTCGGGTACAATTTATATGTAATGTCTTACATAATATTATATATTTATTTATTCTTTAACATGAAATAGCACTTAGTTTAACAGATCGTCGTCTCTGCGCTGCTTCTATATTAAACTTCTCTCGATGTTTATTATTTTCATTTTAGATGTTTTGTTGTCTATTTCTGAAATTAGATTTCCGTCACTTGCTAATATTATGTCCAAGCTATTGTCTTGGTACTTTTATGCGAATATGATCTCGTAATATGAATGTTATTTTGTTTTCTCAAATACAAGTATTGTTCATAAATATACCTACTTCTGCTTTGGTCGTACGACCAAAGGATAATCCCGCCAAACAACCATCACTCCAGCCATCTCTTTCGGAAACCCGATCCCTCCAATCTGATCCTCCATCTAAGAGCCTAAGGAACTTCCATCTTTTTTATCCGATCTTCTCATATAATACGAGGTCTTCACAGTTGCCTCTTCCCTACTGAATCCTTTTCTATTACTATGCGTTGTAAAGGATTCTGGCTATGCCTAGCATGTCCAGCCCACTTCATGTCGTCTTCTATATTTATCGTCTCCAATATATCCGGCTTATGGAAAAGTAATTGTAGTTCGTTATTTGTTCTTATCCTCCATTTACTGCTATTACTCTACTTCATTGGTCCATAAAAACTATTTAGAACTTTCCTCTCTCAGGCTATCAGCATTATTTCATCTTCCTTTCGCAGTGGCCATGTTTCCGCATGAAGTTTTCGCTCCGTAGGTGGCAACTGGGCGCTGTAATGACAGATCCTAACAGTTTTGCCAGTCCATAGAAAGGTCAATGTGATTCTTCCACGAGTCCTAAATATTAAATAATATCAATGTTATAATAATATGTTTTTATACTTAATAGTTCCGTAATGAATTGTGAGAGTACATTGCCTAAACGACCAAAATTTAGTAAAAACTACATCCATAACTTCTTAGTTATTTTTTCGATTTGTCATTCTCAAAAGTATGATAATGTCGATGTCGAAATTCAACAGATCGTAGAACACGGCTTCGTCCAAAGTTTCTTATAATATTCATTGATCTTTATCTTTATCTTTATTTATTACTTGCAACATCATTGTTATTTGAAAATGATCTATTTAATTATAACTCCAATGAAGTATAATATATCTTTAGAGTTTAGATATAAAATTCTAATTCTTTTTGCGTTGGCTCATTTTTTTCAACATTTTTTTATAACCTGCTCCGGAGAATAAAGAATTTATAGGTTTGGAAAATTTAGTGTCTTTCAGTTACACTGTTCGTATATCACAGCTATTCCTTGGAATTATACAAACAAACTTTAGGAATTATATTTATAGATGAAAAGAATAATTAATTCCATATAGGTTATCGAATGCAAAATATAATATCTAAGATAGTATTTTTTATTTGTTTCGTCAGACACATAATATACTGGTTTATTTATTTGCTTTTAAAGGGTGTCCGCTATAAAATTGCTGCCCATTAAATTTTAACACATGGTTAGCCATATTATATAATATATGATTTAAGTTTCCGACCATTACAATTTATTTTAACAAATAATAAACGAGTTTTATATAGATTTTGATGGTCGTTAAATTGCGTTGTCTTCGCTTCGTTGATGCAAAAGTAAACATATACTATATTACACAATATGTTCTCTAACATTAAGGTGATTCTTAAATGTTCGAGATGGTTAAAATTAGAAATATGGTTTGTGAAAAATGTTGGGATTTTAGCTTTAAGGTTTAAAACAATTAAAACAAGTATAATTATTCAACGCGTCAATGAGAATTCCAACATTCTTTTTTACCAAAAGGTTCAACAAACCATATTCTCAAAATGTGTTTTTGTATAA